CCCCCTCTTGGGGGGTGTGTGTGTGTGTGTGTGTGTGTGTGTGTGTGTGTGAAGGGAGGAAGACCCCCCCCCCAAGAGAGGCAACATCATCCCAGCCGCCCATGTCTAGGGCCAGGATGGAGCTGAAGAGCGAGCACTCAGGTCCCAAGCAGAAGAAAGCAGCGGGTCCGTTGCTTGTGGTTTCACCCTCAACCCCGTCTCTGGCAAGCGGAGCCAGGTCACTTGGGGGGGGGGAGGAAGACAGCAGGGCTGAGCCACGACCACCTCCGAGACTTTGTGCATTGGGCCCGCCTGGCCAGCCCTCCGACAGAGCCAGCTGGCCTGCCCGCCCCCCGCCCGCCCCTTTGGGCTGCTCGGACACTCACTCCAGCCAGGTTGCTTGTCTTTTATTGAACAAGAAGAAAGGCAGCACAGACAGAGCGCCGAGAGAGCAACAGAAAAGACAGGCGGGCCCCATCGCTACAGGACACCTCTAAGAAAAACCCCAAAGAGCTGCAAGGCCAGCCATGCCCCGCAACCCTGGCGAGCAGCACCCCCTCCTTCCACCTGCACCCATCAGAGAGCCTGGCCCCTGCCGGAGCTCTCTAGGGTACAGGTAACCAAAACCCCTCCTCCAGGGGAAAAACGATGATGATGATGATGATGATGCACTGCAGTGTAGAGCGGAGAGCCTTCCTCCCCCTGCTCTCTCCTGGATGGCCACAATCGAGCACCAGGCACGCCTGGGCCCAGAGAGAGGTTTCTAGAGGCGGCAAAGGCGTGGGGGCGGGGCGGGCGGGAACCAGCCTGCAGGTAGAACGGTGAGCGCTGAAAGGGGGGACCCAGAAGAGGATCAAGCCAAGAGGCTGACAACCCGCTGGATTCCCACAGCTTGGCTCCATTTTTGCTACCCTTGCAACCCTTTCCCAGCCCAAGGGAACAGACATGGGCGATGGACTTGGGCTGCTGGCTGCGGGGATCAAAGACCTCGGGGGACATCCAGGCTTCTTTCCAGCCCCAGCTGCCCTCTGGGTGGCCACCCTGCTTGCTGGGTCAGGGAGAACCGAGAGACTGGCTGCCCGACCTGGTGCTGGAGCTCCCTTGGATGGCGCTTTGACCCGGGCATGTGCTTGCCGTGTTCCCAGCCTTGATGGAAAGAAAGGCAGATGGGCAGGAAGCCCAAGAGGTTGCTGGCTCACCGCTACCTGATGGGGCTGCCAACTTCCCCAGAGAGCTTGGGGAATAAGAGGGAGAGTGTGGCTTCCCACCTTCTCCCTTCCCCCTGTTCTGACACAGGGCCCAGGAATATCCTCAGAAATCGTCCTGGGGAATTTTTTAAAAGCCCTTTGCAGCCCCCAGTTGTCCCTCTTGCCCTTTGCTCCCAGAAATGTCACCAGCGAGAACCTAGATGAGGGATGCGGGGTTTGCCAAGCAGGACCCACAGATCACATCACATCTGTCCCCAGGTTAGCTGGGATGGGAGCAACCCAGGGGTCCCCGCCCTTCCGAGCAAGGCTGGGAGACGTGCCGTCTTCCAGCTGTTGTCCAGCGATGCCTCCCATCCATTCTAGCTGGCATAGCCAGCGGTTGTGGTTCCTGGCGGTGGTTGCCCAAGAGCTCCCAGGGGGGTTCGCCAGGATTCGGGCGGAGAGGAACTGACCGCCCACAGCCGGCCTTCCTCCAACGTGGCTTGTCCAGGGAGAGGAGGGTCAGTGGCCACCAGGAGAAAGAGGTCAGAGCCTGTGACGGGAGCAGGAGGTCTGTCCGCTTGCTCCTGAGAGGATCCTGCCTTGGGCCGAGGGACAGCCTGACCTTTGCTCAAAGCCAGCCCGGAGTGGGTTTGGGAGGCCGGTGTCCTCTCCACCAGGCGGACTCAGGGGCATCCGGCTGAGGACGGCTGGCCGTTTGGGGATCTGGCGCTTTGGAGCCTGGAGGCAGCCTCTCGGTTCTTGCCTGCTCTCTCCTTTGGGGGCCTCGGGCGATGGCTTTGGCAGGGAGCTCATCGGAAGGGAGCCGGTGTTTGGGACTGGGTGGAGGGGACAGACAGACCGGACGTTGGGTTCCTTCTTGCCCAGAGCCATCCCTCCGGGCACGAGGGGGATCCTTCTGGACAGGGAGGAAGAGGGGATGCCGAAAGGGCCCCTTCGCTCAGTCGGAGGAGCTGGAGGCTTCGTCCGCTCCTCCTGCCCCACCCCTGGATCCGTCCTGTTTGCAAGCAGACCAGTGAATGGGGAGGCCAGCCATTGCAGGAGCCATGGGGCCGGGAGTAGAGGAGGGAGGCTGGGTGGGGATGGCTCTGGAGCAGGGGGCTTGCGGCAGGAAGAAGCGAAGGTGCCCGCTGGCGCAGGGGAAGGAGGACCTCTCTGCTGGGGCCTCTCTGGACCATCAGGAAGGGTTGCGGCGGGTGGTGGAGGAAAAGAAAGAGGTCACCGCACTCTTCACATGCCTGTGGAGAAGAAAGAGAAGCAGCAGGTCAGCCAGCGGGTCATACCTTGGCCGCTGTCCCCCTCCGGTCCTGAGGAAGCCCTTGGGCCGAGGGGAAGCTGCCATCCTCTTCCTTGGCAGGAGAAGGACGCAAGGGACCAGCCTGGCATCTCTGTGGGCAGGGGGTCAGCACTGGACCCCTTGCCCTAACAGGAATCGGAAAGAGCTTCAAGGGGCCTCCTCCCCAGAAGGGGCACACCCAGAACTGACCCTCTGCTCCTCGGAAAGGGCCCGGGAACCTCAGGGGCCCCGGGGGGGTCGTCTCATCGTGCTGGGGTTGGCAAATGCTGAGGCAGCCTGGAGCCTCTGGGCACCCCAGCCAACGGGTGAGGGGCCAGGACAAAGTGAGAGACGTGGCACGAAACCTGGGCAGAGGACCCCCGGCCGCCAGGAGTCCTGGAAAGTCCCCCCCCCGCGCTGACTCTGGCCCCGGACTCAGCTGGGCGCTGCTGGCCCTTCCGAGGGCGACGCTTACCTTGAGAAGCCAGGGCCTCCTCCGAGTCCACCTCGTGGTCCAAGCCTGCCGGGGGAGACGTTACAGGTCATGTCCGGAGCCAGGCGGTGGGTCCCCGGCAGCCCTCCTCCCTGTCCCCCAACCTAAGCCAGAGCCCTCCACACCCCATGGGGGGGGCACAGCCTCCTCGGTGGCCTCTTGAGAACCCAAACCTAGGAGCCACTTACTCTCTTGGGACTCGTGAGACTGAGCGGCTGCGTCCAGGGCAGGACCTGGGAGGTTAGGAAGGAAGAAGACACAAGAGCGGAGACTCTCCTGCGTGCCAGGCCTGGGCCTTCGGGGTCAGGCGGGTCACGGGAGGACCAGCCCTGGACCTCCAAGGCCGCCTCTGCCCCCTTCTTTTCCTTCCTGGGCCAGTGAAGGGAGGCCTTGGGGGGGGGGAGAGGTCTCCCGGGAAGCGGTCACTGGCCCAGAGGTGGGGAAGGAAGCCCCCTCCCTCCCGCCCTTGGCGTCCAGGCTGGCCTACCGCTCTGGCTGTCTCCCGGCAGGAGGTCGGAGCTGAAGGAGCCCAGGTTGGAGGCATCGCCGTTGGCAGGATCCGCGTTCCCTTCGCCTGTGTGGGATCGGTCGGCCCCTGCAAAGCTCATGGGGGCCACGCCTGTCCGGGGGGCAGGAGGGAGGGAGGTCAGCCAAGGGGCAGCGGTTTCACGCCTCTGCCCCAGAGTAGGGAAGAAAGGATACCACTGCTGGAGGTGGGCATGAGGTGGGGCCTGATGGGGACCGTGCCAGAAGTAGGCAGTGGGGTGAATGGGGCCGGCAGAGGGGGCCCCACCACCTGCCTAGCCAGACACACCTGTGGTAACCTGTGGTTCCAGGGGGCTTCCGATCTCACCTGTGGGCAGGAAGACAGAGGAGTTAAAGAATGCCTGCTTCCCCCCCCCCAAACCTTCCAGCCTCTCTTCTCCCTGCGGGCTCTTCTCGGAGGGACCGGCAGCCGTAGCTCCCTGGAAGGCTCCGAGGCTCCCCGTTCGGGGCTTTGCAGTGTTTTTTTTGGGGGGGGGATGGAACCTGAGCCTGTCTATGTGCAAACTGACAGGGAGGCGGCCAAAGGAACGGAACCAACATGCATTAATCGGGCACGGATTTCTTTCTGTTCATGGCAGGACCTCCTCTCTCTCTTTCTCTCTCTCCTTTGAGGGGCGTGCGTGTGTTCCCAAGCCCAGGCGCCCCCCTTGTCTTCCACCCGATCTCCCTCCCTCGGCCAAGATTTCACTTACTTTCTCTCTTGAGGGGCGTGGGTGCGTTCCCAAGCCCAGGCGCCCCCCCCCCTTGTCTTCCACCCGATCTCCCTCCCTCGGCCAAGATTTCACTTACTTTCTCCTGAGGCCTCAGATTTGCCAGAGAGGACGGGCTCTGAATTCACCAGAGGTTCTGAGAAGAGAGGGCGAGAGGGCTTGGACGGGGCCCATGGAGAGTGATGCGCCTGAAGGAGTGGGCGGGGTGGGGGTGGTGGGCATTTCCCGGGGCCACCCCTTCTTTCAGAGATTGGGGCTCTGAGCCCCCGAGGGCTCTCGAACCCTTTGCCGCCCCTCCTGGCAAGCAGCTGCCCTGTTCCCTCTTCCTCCTGAGCTTTCCCACGGGAAGGGGGGGGGAACCCTGTTCGCTCCCCAGGCAAGCCGGGTGATCCGCTGGGAAAGGAAAGCCGCCCTCCTTGTGCCGCCCAGCCTGGTTCCCTCCACCAGGGGTGGAAAACCCCCTTAGGCATACATACCTGGGGTCTGGCTGCCCCCCGGGGAAGTGGGGTCTGGAGAAGTCAAGGGTTCTGTGGAGAAGGTGGGAGAGAGAAAAAAAAGGTCCTAAGGTGCACACATACACACACACCCTCCCAAGATCCAGACGCACCTTGCTTGGCAGGGAACGAGCGACCTCCCCCTCTTTCTCTCTTTCCATCCCTATATTTTGCCCCATTAGTGTTGCCACCGGGCAGTTTACAACAGGCAATGAAAACAGAGCAACACTAGAGAATAAATACAGTAAAATGCAATTAAACCCTGTGGCTAAATGAAGCTACTTTTAAACAGAAATACACGTGCCAAAACCCATTTGAACATCTCAGGACAACTTTACACGAGTAGGCAGTAGCTTTATATAATTTGGCTGTCCTAAGAGCAGGGAGGGGCTGTTTGGGAGGGACTTTGCTCTGCCTGTGATCAGGATGTGTCCCCCCCCCGCTTGACAAACAAGGCCTTTTTCTGCCCTTCTACGGGGGGGGGGAAGCAGCCCAGTCTCTGCCTGTCAGATGAAAATGAGAGGAATCTGATGTCAGGAGGAGGCCCTCCCAGCTGTGCCCGGTTTTACAGCGGCTCTTCTCAAACATGGGGGGAGGGGGGTCACCATGGGCCTATTGAGGAGCTCCAACCTGTGGCTTGAATGCGGGCGATGGATCGTCACCCTGCAACAGGTCCAACCTACAAGGAGCCATGTAGCAGGATCAGCCCGAAGTGGCCTCCTTCGCCCAGCATGGCCCGCCTGCCCCCTCCAACCCCCCCCAGTACGTCTGCAGGATCCGTGCTGATCCCCCTCCACAAGACTAGACCCACTTCTAAGCCTTCATGCTGAGCCCCTTAGGGGCAGTGGACAGAAGCTTTGACCGGGACTCTGGAGACCTGGGTTCAAATCCCTCCTGGGCCATGGAAACAGAGGGGGTGGGGGTGGGAAGAAGACCTGGGGAAAAACCTCGAGCGGGTCCCATAAGGCAGGAAGGCGTGGCTGGATGGCGCTAAACACACACACACACCCTTGCCAAGCAGTGCTTGCCCCAGCCCTGGATTTCTTGTGTCTCCTTCCCCCCCCTTTCTCCCTCACCTTGAACCATTGCCCCTCTGAAAGGTTCATGAACAGCTGGACAGCTCCGTGGCTGAGGATTCTCTGCCTGCGGAGCCCGAGGTGGGGAGTTTGATTCCCCCCACTGGGCCTCCTCGAGAGGAGCTGGGCTCAGTGGTCCAGAGGGGCTCCTTCCAGCTTTCCAGTTCTAAGACGAGGGTGGTGGTGATGATGAACGGCAAAGATTTCATGCGTCTCCAAGGGTTTGGACCACGAAGGCTTAGCTCCAGGATCAGTCTCTATGGTGTGGCTGGGCATTTGTTTTCACAACCACTGTACCTATGTGCTCCCTCTTGCTCTCTCTTTCTCCACACCCCCACACACCCCCAGCACCCCTGGGCTGTCCTCCATGGGATCCCCTTTGAGTGTGGGATGGAGGTGCTGATTGAATCTCACCATCTGCAACCACAATGGCCAGGATCAGGACCACAGCCACGGCAGTGAACAAGAGGAACCTGCAAGAAAGAAGAGGAGCTGTGAGTGGGCTCTGTGTGTGTGTGTGTGTGTGTGTGAGAGAGAGAGAGAGAGAGAGAGAGAGAGCGCTCCACGCCCTTGGCCTCCCAGATGTTCTGCAGGGGTCAGCCTTACAGGGGTATTTATTGTAAGGGTTCCTAGTGCCAAAAATATGAAGTGAAGCCACTTCAGGACTTAAGGTCCGGGGGGGCAGGGAGCAGGGGGGCCTGCTTAAATCCTGCCTGCGAGTAGGGCCATGGGCTGCAGGCCAGCCAGGGAGGGCCGCCTCTGGCTGCCCAGCCTCACTGGCTAGAGACTCCCTGAGCTAAGCAAGCCGAGGGGCCTCAGCCCTCTTCCCTCTCCAGGCAGGGACCGGCCCACCTGCAGCACCCAATGGAGAAGGTCAGCCCCACACTGCCCTTTGGGGTAGGCAGGGAGCCCAGGCGGATCCGAGGAGGAAGAAGGACACTCTTCTCCTGGCCTCTGCTGTGGGGGGAGCCCAGATCTTCCTTCCCCAATCTCCCCCTCCTGCCCATCCCAGCAGGTCCCCCCCCACTCTCAGGCCAAGCTGCCCTAGACCCCAGCACCCACCTCGGTGGCACCCGCATGGTCTCCTCTCGGGTGCAGCTGATGCTGAACTGAACGCAACGATCCAGGCTGGGGGGTGGAGACGCCCTGCGTGCAAAGAGGCAGCTGCCACCAAGGGCTTGGTTATATGGGGCTCAGAACCCAGCCAGGATTGGGGGGCAGCAGGGGTGGGGGGGCAGGCAACCAATCCCACAGCAAGGAGGAGGAGGAGTGATAGTGGCTGCTGATGCGGGCCTGGGAGGGGTCAAGACACCTGAGCAGCCTCTATCCACCTGAAAGTGGAGGGGGGGCTCTCTCTTGAGATGAGGGCGGTTAGAGGAGGGCCTTCAGCTGACCTGGCCCAACCAGGAGCACCTCCCTGGGTCTCCCCCCCCCATAAAAACAGCTGAAAGCCGGACAGCCCCTGAAAGCCTCGGGAGTCTGCTCAGGTGTACGTGATTTATTGGGAACAGCTCAAGCCGCTGCCTCTGAGGACCTGGGCAGCCATTGGCAGATGTTCACACCAAATATCACCAAATACCCTGATCTTGAAGAAGCCCCCCCCCCCGACTGACTGGCCAAGCTGCCCCCGGGGAAGCTGGCCAAGGGAGGGCGGGAGTGCTCCTGGGTGCCCCTCGGCTGGCACTGACTCTCCAGCCAAGAAAGAAAGAAATGGTCCTGGAGCAGCATCTGGGGGTCCTAAGCGTGCACACGCACACACGCACACCCCGGCTCCTGCAGGGGGATGGCTGTGCATCTGGTTCTTTCACCCAGAGACGAGGGCAGAAACGGCTGAGAGCGTGATCACTCTAGCAAAGTCTGTCTGACTCCATCCTCAGGATGAGGCTATATGGGACCCATGGGGGGGGGGGGTTTGGCCTCCCACCTGCCTGGTTGAAGGTAGGCCTCCCGGCTCCCTCTGCTTCCACC